TGGGACCTCCAGAGTTAGGGTAAGTGGGCATTCATCAAAAACCTCTCTTCAACCACCACCAAATTAACGAAAAACACCAAAAGGGAAGAACATGGCAGTCACACCGCCTGCCCTGCCTCCTTCACGCCTACAGCGAGGCTGGCAGTGGAGGCGGAGCAGAGTGCCTGGCGACTCCCCTCCAGGGGGTGTGAAGGGTGGATGGGCTTCTAGAAAAACCCAAACACCCTTATGGAGCTTGTGTGCTGTCCCGTGGTCAGGGGAGTGCAGCAGGGGGCCAGCTGAAGGTTGCATCAGATGTATGGTGACCTAAGGGCTGCCACCACAGCCACGTCCCCTAAGGGGGACAAGGGTCCTGGAGAAGACCCACATGGCCTGCCTCCTCTAGGAAGCCCATCAGCGCCTAAACCTTCACATCAAAGTGTGGGGCACCTGGGGAGACCCCAGTGACAGGAGGAGACAGGCCAGCACACAGAGCTCCCTGGGCCCTGATTCCAGAAACAGATGGTGGGAGCACGTCCAGCTGCATCAGCAGATGAGAACAAAGTGCCAGGAAGACACATATTCAAAATCAAAACACATCAGCATCACCAGAAACGGCACCGACTAGACAAATGGAGAGCCTTGAAAACTAAATTGTAAGCCAAAAGGCAGAGTCCAGAAATCCTCCCCAAATACAGAACAAAACCCAAGATGGTGGACACTTTGAGGATAGATGAGGAAAACCTGTCGGTAGGATACACACTTGAGGAGATGAGAGGCAAGAACCAGTGTTGCACAGAACAGCCGCGTGAGTTCAGGCAAGACAAAGCCTCAGGTCAGAACGTGTGGAGGGCCGGCCGCTGGAGGGAAGAATGACCAAGCCTGAACATTGCCAGGAGAATTTTCAGATTCTAAAGATAAAGGGAAAACAATGCTACAGGTGTCTACAGGACTAACGGGACGGCCTGTCCAGGACTGAGCCTGGGTGCTTTTAAGTTGAGGGCCCCACCGGCTGGCCATGGGCAGAACCCAGGGAGAGCTCAAAGCCACACAGCCTGGCCCAGCCCGGGTTTCTGATGGATTTGTTCTGAGACGGACCAGACAGCATCTGTTTCTTGTTTACTTTTTTAAAGCCTTCCAGATTATTCTAATGTGCAGTCAGGACTGAGAATCACAGATCTTAATTATAAATGGCCCTGCGTTAGTGCTTCCTGGATCCTAAGTGTGCGGGTCCGACGCTGTGGGACTCACCGAGGAAGGGACCTCTTCCCATCAAGTCTTCTGGGTAAAACCCACGGGCCAAGAAGGAACAAATAAGGCAAAAGAAATTAATAAAGTTCAAAATCAGAAGCTGGTAAAGTAAAAAAAAGGAAAATAAATTGATTTGAAAATAAAACTAGTCATTTTTTTTTAATTACCAATAAACTTAACCTTCTGGCATGTCAGACAAGGAACAAAAAGGAGATCATGTAAGTGGCAATGTTGGGAGTGAGGGCAATTTGGGGAGTTTTTTTTTTTAATTTCAAGAAAGCTAAACTGTGTACTGGTTTCATCAGTGAAGAAATCAAAAATGGTGTCAAAAATCTGTTTCCCCTAAAAGAGCGAATATTTGAAGATTTTATAGAAGAGTCCTAGTAACCCCTTAAGAAACAAATCATCCTGTGTTATTCACCCCCGACAGGGAAGAAAATTAGAGAAGCTCTCACCCGGCTTGTTCTGCAAAGCTTAGTGTCATGCTGCCTAGTGCCAAGGCAGACAACGGGCGAAGCAGAGCCAGGACTCTGTCCCACTTACGAGGTTTGAAAATCCTAAAATAAATCAGCATATTAAATTCAGCGAGGTAATAAAACACAAATAAATCATAGCCAAGTAGGATTTACTTCTGCAATTCAGGAACAAGTTGCGATTAGGAAATTGACGAATTCAATGCATTATATTCATCAATTAAAGCAGAAAAAAGAAGACTTGGTGGGTGGATGCCAAATGAGAGTTTGGTAAAACGCATCATGCATCCCAGACTCGGATGGAAGGGGAATTCTTCATGAGTTTCTGTCTGAAACTAATAAGATTGGTATTAGTGCGGAGCACTGGGTGCCGCAGTTAAAGCCAGGAGCCAGCCGAGCGGCCTGCCAGCACACTGCCCCGCACCGCTGTGGACGTTTCAGCAATGCAAGAAAGCAGCAAAAATAAACGAGATCGAGATTTTGGAAATGAAATGCTGACATTCACATCCTCTACTAATGAAAAAAAAGCCAATAGAAACAGTCAGAAATCAGGAAAGTACCTGTGGTTTTCTTCTTTACCGGTAGTAGCCAGTTAGGAATTATAATTTTTTTTTTTTTTTTTTTGAGACAGAGCCTCAAGCTGTCCCCCTCAGTAGAGTGCCATGGCATCACAGCTTACAGCAACCTCCAACTCCTGGGCTCAAGCGAGTCTCCTGCCTCTTCCTCTCAAGTAGCTGGGACCACAGCGCCTGGCTAGTTTTTGGTTGCAGCCATCATTGTTGTTTGGTGGGCCTGGGCTGGATTCGAACCTGCCACCTTACGTGTATGTGGCTGGCACCTTAGCCACTTGAGCCACAAGCACCAAACCAGGAATTAGAATTTTTTAAAAATCTCATTCATAATAGCTGAAACACCACAAAATACTCAGGAATAAGTCTAGCAAGGAATGAGTGAGCCTATCTGAAGGACAATAATAAAATTTTACTAAAGGGCATAAAATAAATTTAAATAAATGGAGCACCATGTTACTAGAAGGGAAGGCACATAATATAAAAATGTCAGATCTTTCCAAATTAATAGTAGAGTCGATGAAATTCCAATTAAAATCCACAATAAGATGAACTTGGACTTATATAACATTTTGGAAAAGCAATGATTCAAAATTCAAGATCTCTACAGTGAAAAGTCTCCTTCCTGCCTCTACCCTCCAGCCACCCAGTGGCAATGGGTGTCATCAATTCTTGAGTAGTCTTTAAAGTTATTTTTGAATCTACATATAACCAAAGTCACAAGGGTGTGTATATAGTACATATTTTCTCTCTTTTTTAAAACGCAAACAGGTGCCTATTATACCTAGTCTGTTTCTTGCTTTTTGGCACTTAACAAAGTATGCTCGCTCAGCGCCTGTGGCTCAAGCAGCTAAGGCACCAGCCACATGCACCTGAGCTGGTGGGTTCAAATCCAGCCTGGGCCCACCAGACAACAATGATGGCTGCAACCAAAAAATAGCCGGGCACTGTGGCAGGTGCCTGTAGTCCCAGCTACCTGAGAGGCGGAGGCAGGAGAATCACTTGAGCCCAGGAGTTGGAGGTTTCTGTGCTGTGAGCTGTGATGCCACAGGACTCTACCCAGGGCGACAGCTTGAGGCTCTGTCTTTAAAAAAAAAAAAAGTATGCTGAAGATTGTTTCACATCAGTACATAAAACGTTCTCTGCTTTCAATGAATTGATTTTAAAGTTCACTTGTAAGACAAAATGTGCAGGTATATCCAAAAATTTTGAAAAGGAAGGATAATGTAAGAAATTTTTGGTGTCATGTCTCAAAACATAGTATAAATCTATAGTAAAAACAGGAGGAAGATAGACAAGCAGGTCCAAGAATGGGAAGTTCTCAGAGAGCTTTAAGGAAATTGACTTCCACCAGGCTCCTGCAAATGACATAAATGTGCAAGTTGCCTTTTTAAATCACAAATCTCTTTTTGATCACTTGGCTACCTGAAAAATAAGTACCTAGATCTCTATTTGACTCTGTATAAAACAATTTTTTTTTCAGGTACAGTAAGAACATGGCAGGGGCATTAGGACAACAGGCAAGATAAGGTTATCTTAAAATGAAGGTCTTTGCAAACACGATGGGGAGGACAGAGTTTACAGGTTTGATTATATGAAATCATAGAATGTATTTGTCAAAAAAGCACAATGAGGCTTGGCGCCTGTGGCTCAAGCGGCTAAGGCGCCAGCCACATACACCTAAGGTGGCGGGTTCGAATCCCCAGCCCTGGCCCGCCAAACAACAGTGACGGCTGCAACCAAAAAATGGCCAGGCGCTGTGGCGGGCGCCCGTAGTCCCAGCTACTTGGGAGGC